TGGGCGAAATTAAATTTTATGGTTAAATTGAAAAATAAAATTATGTAAATTTGACTGAAAATGGCCGTCATTTTAATTAATATAACGTTACTAATTATTTTTATTAATTTGTTACCAATACGAACATATGTATATTTATATAATATCCCAAGAAATAGTTTCCAATTAAAAAAAAAATCGTCTTGGTCTGGGAAATTTTAGTCGAATTACTTGCAACATTGAATAAATGGCGCATTTGGTCTTGATTTAAAAAAAATATGCGTCAAATTGAGTCAGCCAAATATCAATTCAGCTGACTAAATTTATAATTTATGTTACTGTATTTCACTTGAATTGTTTAACTGTCATTTATTTATTTTTAAGTTTCTGCAATAAAGGGTTAAATAAATAATTATTAACAGGTTTTTCACATTCATGCTCTATATATATAATCTAAGATCGCAACGTATAGTGGGAAGTCTTACAGGCACCGTAAACCGTGGCAACAGCACCCATAGGCGATTATTACAAATAAACTAACAACATAACTGACGTCGCTATCTATTTGCGGACGCGCACAAAAATACGGCGTTTCACACGGCCCGCGCGGCCCACGGCGCCGTGAGTACGGGCCGGTCACGCCAAAATATCTTTATTGACCACCCTAATTTATGATTTGCATTAGAAACGTGTGTACTTGTTTAGCGAGCGATCGGTTGATATTTTATTCGCGAATAAAATCCTTCTTTGTCCTTACTATTTATATACGCTTGCGAGATAAGCAGAGGGAATCAAGTGCTAAAGACTTAAAATCATAACATACATTCTTACTTCTTGTAGTTTCATAACTTTTACCAGAGGGAGACTTTGTATAAAAGTCGTTTGATTAAGTACTACTGTTCCATTCGTATTTCCACCGAAAAGCAGTTGTTTGCATGGCTGTTTCGATTTGAAGGGTGGCAGTGATTTTACAGGGTGCAAATGTTGTCTGCATGCTTATCTTTGTCCCATCCGTGTTTCGTGAAACAGCTGTGTTAGCATGCCTGTATTTCAAATTGCCGTGCAGTTATAGAATAGGCCACCACTTCTCTTCCTGTGAGTGTCGTATGAAGCGACTAAGAGAACCTGATAATCAAGGGATGTCAGCAGCGTCCCTCTCCATAGCCTATCATCTGCGGTTGCCAACCCAAAGTCATTAGTTGCCATGCTTGCCTGCCAAGCGTGGCAACTACTGACAAAACTCCCCTTTATGGGAAAGGCTGACACAACAACAACATGGTATGGTATTTCAATTTGGAGACTGGGAAAGGAGATAGCAGAGAAATTATAAAGACGTAACAACGTAATAAAATACAATAGGCTTCAAAGCATATTCTAGATATCTAAGGTACGGTTCATATCTACAGATGACGGTCATCATTTTCTATTAGATGAGCCGTCCAGCTAGGTTGCCATTGTATTATAAAAAAAAAAATATGTACTATCCTTAATCTATGAATAATATAAGTCCTGTTTGTCTCTGGATCTACTATGGAGGCCAACTAGTTTATGTGTTTATTAATCTATGGACACTAAATAAATCTAATTATGTAGTCTATATGTATATATTCTTGAGGATTTACCCTATTATTTTAATACATATATTAATATCCAAACAATAGTTGTTTACAATATAATAATGTGATTAATATAAATAACAAATTATTATTACATAAAATATTATATTAACAAATAAACAACGAGCAAGTGATATGGAATAAAATATTTATATTTTAATTTGTTATTATATGTATATAATGAATATTTTGTATATTTTAGTTAATTTTTAACTTAAATATCTAAATAAAATACCATAATAAATTGTGTAAATTAAAAAATATTTTATACTGACTGATTTAGCATTGACATATTTGCTGTATAAAATATTATTTGTTTTAAATCAGTGAAGAAAAATAAAATACTTTGTGAAGTTGGTAAAAATAAATGTACATGGTTAATGGGGAAATAGCCGCAACCTCGCCACTTGACATTGGGCCTGTCATCAAGGTGGATCATCACCCGTTTTAATGATCCGTGTTATTATTAAAACATTAAGTAAATAATTAACAACCTTGGTTGGTTTGCGTAAATGAGGTACCGAGTTCGAGTCCCGGTCGGGTCAATTTAAAAAACGAACATTTCTGAATTAGCTCGCATTTATGCATTCTAAGTTGTACTTGTAGACGTTTCTTACTTGACTTCTCATAATAAAGAGCATTCTAGCTTAATAATAAACAGGCGATTAGTATATAAAAAAAAGAATTTTATCGTCAAACAATGCACTGATATAAAACGTGATAAAATGTATATGCAGCCAAAAAATCATAATCTGATTAGAATTACCGAAGATATCACGTAACACGCCTATTTAGATTGTGTTCTACAAAAAAAAAAAACTGACTTCAGTAGTAGCAAAATTAGTTACTTTGTTTATAAAAAAATGGTTATTTGAAAATGCTTTTTACAATTTGAATGAATCCTTTGCTTCTTGAAATTTTTTTTATATTGACATTATAAATAATTAAATTAATATAAAAAGATCATAATATGTATGCATGTAAATTTATTATTGACGATTGACGTGTTTTATTCTATTTTTAACTTTGATGACGACTTTATTGTAAAACTGCAAAATAATGTTATGTAGCTAATTGTATTGTACGCCCGATTTTTTTTTTTTATACAACTTAGAATGGCAAACAGGCTGACGGCTTGGCTGGTGTAGGCTGACTGATGTATGGGTAAGCTGTGTCAATTTCCTTTAAGACGTTGATAAAATCTTACGAATAATTATAATGCTCACAATAAATATTTATTCTATTCTATTTAAAAACCAAACTTCTGAATTTATTTTATTAAAATTTCTATGGCACCGATCTGAAAGTATATCCCTTCAGATAAAGAAAAATAATAATAACCTATGTAACACCTTAGTCCTCAGGAATGGCAACGAATGGGCGGTATCATGGGCGAAACATTATACTCTGTTATGTCCACAGTACTGCTCATGTCTGTAGGCGACGGTAACCACTTTCCAGGTGGGCCGTCAGCTTGTTTGCCATTCTAAGCTGCATAAAAAATCCAATACGGTATAAATAACGATATTACGTACACAACATAAAAAAAATCCGAATTGAAAACTTGATCCTTTTGTGAAGTCAAAACACAAAACGATATGTGTGTACGCAAAATTTTTGTTACATTTCATATTGAATTACATCTCTTGTTTTGAAATCAACCGTGGCTTTTGCACACTTAGAAATTCAACACAATAATGTGTTACGGAAGTGTCATTAGGAATCGTTGCCAACAACTGGAAACCGGTGCTGACAAGACAACACGAACATCTATTTCTGATGTTTATTTGATTTAATGTAATAACAAAATCATAGGCGTATTTAGACGGCGACCAGATGGACTGTGCTCACCCCAGGATGCGAGCAAAGCTTTACGAAGATATCATATAGCATATCTGAGAGTACATATGAGTCGGGACCCTCTACTCCAGGAAAAAACAATTTTAGATGTGCTAATATGAACAAAACAAGCATTTTGTGAATATTTACCTAGTAGGGGGGAGAAGGGATTGTTAGTAATGGAGATTAGAAATCCCATTGCTAGCAATATACCCTGTCAGATCGACCTCCACGCGGTTCATTATGGAAACCATCGTGATTGATTTATCGAGCAAGAATAAATGGAGATATCGGTAGGGGCCCGCCTTAGAAGGACGTACTGAAGGGCCAAATTAAAAATACTCGTAACCGGCGAACGTGTTGAATAGATTGATGAATGTGGAAGAAGCGAAAAAGGTTTGTTTCAATCTAAGCATTTGGCGTTCCATTGTTTCTGCCTACTCTAATGGGAGACAGGCGTGACAGATATGTATGTATGTATAAACAAAATAGATAATCTACACCCATATGGGGGGAAGGGATTGTTAGTAATGGAGACTGAGAATCCCGTTGCTAGCAATATACCCAACCAGGTCGACCTCCTCGCGGTTCCCCCTGGAAACTATCATGGTTAATTCCTGATGGATTCATCATGATGGGCTAACTGGCCTGTTTTCATTCTCATCTATCACCCTTCACTGGTGCTCCGCCAGCGTATCGCGTAGCGCAGGCGGGGTTACTATATCATTTTCACCTATCAAAAAAAAAAATATGTATAATATTTATTCTGTGACTGAAGTGATTGTTTGAACAACGTAATCAACTTTATTACTGTGTTTGTTGATACTGATTCGGTAAGTTTGTATTACGAACTACTCAACTGCTCAACATAGCATTTTATATTGACTTCTGTTTGTTACTCTCTCACGGCTGAAATATTATAGCGATTTAGATTTTTAAACAGAATGTTGGTAAATGGCGGTTGAGCACAATTATGCAGTCGATTAGTGTTCACGGAAAGTTGTTGACGTACGCAGCATCAGAGGCGTCACTCACGCGTTAACCATGTTTGTGTAATGAAAATATTGTGAATATCTACCCAGTAGGGGAGAAAGGGGATTGTTAGAAATGGGGTTAGTAACCCTATTACAAGTAAAATACCCCATCAGGTTTGTAATTTGTGAAAATGGTATGGTAATCCCGCCTGCGCTAACGGGATACGCTGGCGGAGCACCAGTGAAGGGTGATTGATGAGAATGAAAACAGGCCAGTTAGCCCATCATGATGAATTCATCAAGAATTAACCATGATAGTTTCCAGGGAGAACCGCGAGGAGGTTTACCTGGTTGGGTATATTGCTAGCAATGGGATTTTCAGTCTCCATTACTAACAATCCCTTTCCCCCCTATCTCATCAGGTTATGACAATGTAACGTATACAGCTGCATTTCGATAAAAAAATGACACATGTACCTAATAACAGGACTTTTGTACAAAGTCTCATCAGAGTGACACTTTCCAATGTGATCTTGAAGTGTGATGAGCTGTTATAATGATGATGAAGCAGTAGATATGTACTGATACTCACCCATTAGGTATGTCTGTGCTAAGCTGATCGAGGAGCGAGTCCACGGTCGGCCGGGACGATGCCGGACTAGTGGCGCCATTAGTGCGTGCATATCCATCTGTCAATGGAAAAATTAATACATAATTTAAAAGTGCATAGCGTAAAGGTAAATTTAATTTAAAGTCGCTTGCTTGGGTACCTCTGTCCCATTCGTGTTTTAATCGTAAAGCAGTTGTGTTTGCATTGCTATGTTTAGGTTTGAAGGGTGTAATATGGCGTGAATTTACTGGGTACAGAGGAATAACACCTGAGTCCTCAGGAATGGCAACACATGGGGGATATCATGGGCGAAACAGTATACTCTGTTATGTCCATGGTACTGCTCATGTCTATAGGCGACGGTTACCACTTTCCATCAGGTGGGCCGTCAGCTTGTTTGCCATTCTAAGTTTTATAAAAAAAAAAGGTGCTACGCAAAAGGATACACATAAATTAAAAACAGTATTATTAATTAACTAATCTATGTTGACCTAAGCGAATTGACATATCGTTCCTGTCGTCAGTAACGATCGCATATAAAGTAGGCATGAGTAATATGTATATCGATTCGATATCTATATATTGGGTTCCTCTGGACACAGATGGCGGGAAAAAGGTCATCATCCATTTCGATATCGCCCATATCGGCTGTGATATCTATTTTGAATACGTAAAAAGTCTGTTAGCCAATATAATTTTTTGACATTTATCATATTTTTTTAACATATTCGTTATTGTACCAGTATATAGGTATTGTAATTTGAATATACAGGTATTGATACACATCACCCACCTCTAATATAAAGATATAATATTTTTTCAAGCATTTTTAATAGGTTTTTCAATTAAACTTTTCAAAAACTATTAATATCAATTTGATCTATCCATTTTCAAGTGGTGCGCTTACCAAGAAATAGAATTTAATTTTTATTTATACAAATAACTGATATCGTCAATAATATCATTATCTTATATCAAATACTTTCTTTCAAATTATACAATTGTTATAACAACATTGTCAATTTACAAATGGCCGCTACGAGTATATCGTGAGTTTGTAAAGGTCGTTGGCATCTATTTGTAGTCATTTCGATTATGATCCGCAAATAAAGTGACCACGATTTATTATGGAATTAAGACATGTTCGAGAATAAAAACGCTAAGAACAAAAAAGAAGAAAGGACAGGAAAAGGAAGGCTAAGAAATTAAAAAAGCCAAAAAAAAGATAGGTGTCATTTCCTGTAGGGAAGTCGAGAACATAGTATGGGATACAGCTCATTGAAGAAAGTTACAAAATTTACGAGAAAAGGAATTTCTTAAAGTGCGAAGGAAGAATAAAAACCGATAGTTATTAATATTATCGTTTAATTTTGAACATTCACGATATTTTTGTGGTGGTAAGAAAGAACTTTTACTTCTACTAGATACTTTACTTATACATCCTTACCAATATTCTAGATGTGAAAGTCAGTTTCTTTTTTTACCTCTTAACATCCTAATGGCTCTATCAATACACTATCGAATTAATGGAGGTATACGAATACACATCGAAGTTAATGGTCGAGGGATAGGCAGCAGCGTCCCTCTTAAGACATTACCAAAGTCTTACTGCGAATGCCAAGCCGCCAGCCAAGCATGGTAGCTACAAGCAAAACCCTTATGGGGGAGGCCTATGTTCAGCAGTGAAAACTTAACGACTGATTTGATGATACAAGTACATATACTAAAGAGGATGACGAAGTAGCGTATCTACTTTTTGTTCTAAGCAATGAACATATTCCGGCCACACGTACGAAGTCGTGGCTAAAAGCTAGTACAATAAAAATACATCAATAAAATACAAATGTTTATCAACAACATGTATTCTAAGAAATGCACAAGTTGGTACGTTCTTCCTAGTACCAATACTCACTAAGGCATAGGACGAGATGAGAATTATAAATGACGAATTATAAAAGACCGTATGAAGACAGTGATATAACTGGAATTTTAATAAACAATAAGTATAATTTTTTTTTATACAACTTAGAATGGCAAACAAGCTGACGGCCCACCTGATGGAAAGTGGTAACCATCGCCTATAGACATGAGCAGTACCATGGACATAACAGAGTATACTGTTTCGCCCATGATACCCCCCATGTGTTGCCATTCCTGAGGACTCAGGTGTTATTCCTCTGTACCCAGTAAATTTACGCCATATCCCACCCTTCAAACCGAAACAAAGCCATGCAGACACAACTGCTTCACGGTTGAAACACGAATGGGACAGAGGTACCCAAGCAATCGACTTTTGTACAAAGTCTCCCTCTGGTCATCATCATAACATCATAACACCATAAAATCATAACTGGTCGCTGTCTGTACATGGAGGATATATAAGAAAAACTATTATAGTGGGGCTATATAAACGCAATAGAACCTAAAACAATTATTTTTAGAATTTTGTCTGTTTGTCTGTACGTTTGTGCACGCTAATCTCAGAAATGGATTTGAATGCGGTGTTCACTAATGCGTTGCGGTTTGCTCCACTTACCATTCAGTGTTTGTTTTATTTCAATCGGTTCGTAAATAAAAAAAAATATATTAATCTAAAGAATCACATATAAAATGCTATAAAACGATAGACCAACGGATATTTTACTCTTTCACTGTCAAAAACTACTTAGAAGAGATTCGGTACACGGGATTATATCCACGCGAGTAAAATCGCGGGATACAGCTAGTTCTACTCGTATTATATTACCGCCGTATGTCCTTGCATAGAATAGGCCACCCCTTCCTTTCATGTGGGTGTCTTAAAAGCCGACTAAGGGTAGGGCAAGGGATGGGCAGCAGCGTCCCTCTTAAAACATAACTGCGGTCGCGGTCTAAGTGTGACAACTACTGGCAAAACTCCCCTTATGGGGAAGGCTTATTCAGAAATGGACAGTTAATGGCTGAAATAATAATAATAATATATAATCTTATTATTTATTTATATTTATATATACATATATCGTCATAGTCGTAGAATACTGATGGATCTATGTATGTAATATTTGTCAGATCCGTCATATATATGTGTAACGGAAAGTCTTCTACAGGAAGCGTACGGTATTTTGTGTCACAACGTCTCTACTAAAACATGGTCTCGTACTATATTCATTAACAGTGTTTACGAACGTACTAACTTCATGTCATCTGTATTGTTTACTATATCATGTTTTTAAATAGAAATTACAGTACTTCCTTGGAAAAAGCGTTGTAAATTATAATTATAAATAAACTTACTTAATTCATGTGCCAAATAAATAACTGGATGGGACTATTAATTTGTTTAATTGGCACGGAGACAGATATTTACATTTGCCCATAACACATGGCGGGTGTAAAAGCATTTCGGAAATATTTTACTAAAATAATGTAAAGAGTACTCGTAACACTTTCAGTTACTTTCTATTATGCATTCGACGTTAACGTGTGAAATATGATCATTTAAAAGTTTCATTAATTTAAAAAACCACAGCACTTAATTTTTTTTTATACCATGAAGATGGCCTACGTACATATCTCATAATAAACTAGGAGTGTAAAATGACTCTGAAAAACCTTAATACACCTTTTTTGAAAAATTCCATATTGGAGTGTGTAAGGAATAATCTCGGCAGAGAGCTTATTCTGCTTTTTTTTATGAATCCTATCTGTAATCTTTAGGGAAAACTTCGGCAGGGAACTCATTCCACATTTTTTTTTAATGGGTGATAATAGAATGGTAATCCCGCTTGCACTATCGGTATATACTGGCGGGGCTCCAGTGATAGATGACAAATGAGGATGACCCATAATGACGAATTCATAAACAATTAATCAAGATGGTTTCCAGGGGAAACCACATGGAGGTCGACCTGAAGAGGGTATTGATAGCAATGAGGCTGTTAAAATACTGACAAACACTTAGGAACAAGTTTTCAATGATTGTATTTCATAATGAATGAATGACTTCATAGCATGATGAAGGTCTTACCTAGCAGAGGAATATTAATAGGCTGTTACTTTAAACAGATATCAATCTATAGAGCCAAATTTGTTACATCCACTAATTAGGACTGCAGCCAAACACAAATGAGGTTTGTTCATATTTCAGACGTGGAGAATTAGGAGTCGAACAGGTGGCGTATAGACAGGGCTGTGCTTTTTAATAAATGTATTTTAATTTAAAAAATATTTTAAAACAATTGAACGGTTAACAAGGAGTTTTCCTCTAGTGATCTGTACGGTTTTAGAGTAAGAAACACGAGTATTTGACCCCAGTCTACCGAATCACTGCAGTTTCAAACAAATATTACTTCCACAACTGTAGTGTCCTTTTTCTTCCTTTTTTACCAATCTCATTTATTCACTCTAAACGCCTTCCTTTTTCCTCGACCCTTTCCTCCATACCGGAATCCTCCAAACCGCCATTCCGACGGATACCACCAACAAATAGATTTCCAAGGAGACAAACGGTCGGTCGTAGAACAAACATCCAAAACTTCGAGTGATATGATTAAAAACATATTAGGCCGAAAATAAATAATCAGAATAAGGGCAGGAAGATGATAAATGATTAACAAGCATACCAGATGGTAAGCTTTCACCGTTGCTTTCAGGATAGGAGGTGTTTACGTGTGCGATTTATATATAATATATGAAATGAGGATCGCCAATAAACAAAACTAGCACTTTAGATCAGTAGGGTTCACAATATTCATTATGACTCCCACGCCCAAGAGTGGTACTTTCTTGCATTGTTATTTGTGAAGACTAAGATATTATGCTTATGTACTCTGTAATTTTACATTCTTAAACTTAAAACAAAGCCATATATGTACAGCTATTGAGCGACAGAATCTCGAGTGCAACTTCAAATATGAATTTAAAAATATACTCAATAAAAAGTATTTAAGGTTGGAGCAGGGTTGTCATAAATAACAGGTTTTGTAACATCAAAAAAGTAGTTCAGTAGTGGCATGCTTAGTTTTAGTATAAATTGAGATAATTGCGGCATTTGCCTCTGTCTGTATTTAAATTGAGCGTATATAACTTTACTTTTGTATT